TTAAACTTAAAAGTGTGTCATGCATGGATTTTTTTTAAAAAGAGAGCTGGTTGTTAAACATTTACTAGCATGTCTTTGATATTGTTTCTCCTTGCTATTTGAAGCTACTTGAGGGCAGGGACTGTTTTCACTTCAGTCAATATATTCACAGGGCACCTAGCCCAGAGTAGGCAATTAATAAATGTTTGTTGAGTAATTGATTAACTAGTAGAAGGCCCACACCTTCTCTAGGCTAGGAGAAAGAGGCTGTAATGGGGTAGTTAGGTGACTCAGTGGACAGAGTACTGGGACTGAAGTCAGGAAGACTCATCTTCCTGAGTTCAAATCTATTCTCAGATGCTTACCAGCTGTGTGATCCTGGGCAAGTCACTTAACTTGATTGCCTCAGTTTCTTCATTTGTAAAATTAGTTGGAGAAGGAAATGGCAAGGCAACCAAGTATTTTTGTCAAGAAACCCCTAAATGGGGTCACAAAAATTCAGACACAACTGAACAAAAGAGGCTGTAAGTCAATTATGGAATAAAGGGATGCCCCTTCCCCTTTTCCCCATCCTAAAACAAACAGGTGAAACTAGCAATCAATTCCTATAATGCTTGGAGTCTATCAAAGGAAGTGGTTCTTGCAGGGTATATGGAATTAGGTTTCTAGGTGTGGTTGATTGGGGTGAGGGAGGTATCCTTTAAATTCTCAAATGTTGATTTGTGTGCCTGCAATTTAAATGAGAGTCTTTGGGTATGTCACATCTGCCTCTTGGAACGCTTTCTTCTACTTCTTGTACAGATTTACTCTGTATATGAAGGTGTGTGTGTATGTGTGTGTGTGTGTGTGTGTGTGTGTGTGTGTGTGTGTATCCAGTTACAATCTGCTGGTAAAGACATGGGATGTTTAATCAGGCAGGAGCCGTCCTATTGTACATGCTTGAATTTTCCTTTCCCTGTCTTTCCTTTCAGACCCCTGCTCCATAGGGTGAAATGAAGGGTAGTTTTGGTGTGTTTTCACAGTTAGAAGAGTTACTGAGGTCACACAGCTGTCAAAGTGTAGGATGTTAAAGGTTCTGGAGCAAACTCTGGCTGCACTTTTTCCATCAGTATGGTATAGTGGAGAAAGAGAGAGAGAGAGAGACAGAGAGACAGAGAGAGGGAGGGAGGGAGACAGAGACAGAGACAGAGAGAGAGATGTGGAATCAAAAGACATTGTGGGCCAAGGGAAAGAGCAATGATGCTGGAGTCAAAGAACCTAGGCTCACATCTCACCTTGGATAATTATTACCTTTGTGACCTTAGATAAATTCTTTAATCTCCTTCAGCTCAATTTCCTCATCTGTAAAATGGGGGTAATTGTTAACTACCATCTTTTCACAGGATTAGTGTGAGTTAATTGCTATATATGTGTGAGTTATGTCCTCAGTTTCCTGCTGGATTGCATTCCAGGAATTGCATTGAACTTTTAAAGATCATGTAGCAGCTGCTACATGAACTCAATTTTTCTTGGCTTATATTTTATTTTATTTTTTGGAAATAACTATACATTCATATTAAAATTTTTTGAGTTTCCTATTCTTTCCCTCTCTCTAGTCCTTCCCCAGCCCATTGAGAAGTCAAACAATGTGATACATGTGAAGTCATGCAAAACATATTTCCATATTAACTATGTTGCAAAAAAAAGGGCAAGAAAAATAAAGAATGTGAAAAAGTATTCTTCAGTCTGCACTCAGGGCTCATCAGTTTTCTCTCTCTGGATGTAGAAAACATTTTTCTTTGTGAGTCCTTTGTGATTGTCTTGGATCATTGTATTGATTAGAGTAGCTAAGTCTTTCACAGTTGTTCATTGTTACAATATTGTTGTTATTGTATACAACCTTCTCCTGGTTCTGCTCATTGTACTTTGCATCAGTTCATATAAATCTTCCCAGGTTTTTCTGAAACCATCCTACTTGTCATTTCTTATAGCACAATAGTAACCCATTACAATTATATACCACGTCTTGTTCAGCCATTACCTAATTGAAGAGCATCTCCTTCATTTCCAATTCTTTGCCACCACAAAATGAACTGCTACAAATATTTTTGTCTCTTTGGGATATAGATGTAATATTGGTATTTCTGGGTCAAAGGGTATACACAGTTTTATAGCCTGTTGGGCCATGAGCTCATTTAAAAAAAAAAAAAAGTACCAATACTCAGTGATATGACATGGCTATGAATCATGAAACACTATTATCTCAGAAAAATCAAAATTGTAGGAGACCCAAAAAGTAATGGAAAGGTTCCTGGTGGGCATAAATGGGTTGCAGCATGTTAACAATAGTGACATGTACATGAGAAATGGCATATAACATGTCAAGAGACATAGTCTAGAGTACTGGATCTGGAGTCTGGAAGATCTGGGTTCAAATCTTGCTCCTAGCACTTGTGTTTCCATGGGAAAATCACTTAATTTTTCCCCCTGAGCTTCAGTTTTCTCATTTGTAAAATGGGATTGATAGCAATCTATAGTGCCAACTTTATAGGATTGTGAGGTTCATATGAGACAATTCATTTAAAATGCTTTACAAACTTTAAAGTTTGTATATACATATCACTTTATATGTAGCTATATATGTGTATATATAGCATATTTGGTATATATTTATTACTTTAAAGTTTGTAAATATATGTTTGTAGATTTATATTTATAATGTATTACTAATTATTATCAAGCAATGTATGACAAGAAAAAGATTAATTATACAGGAAGAATGAGGGGTTCCAGAAGGATAAGCAGAACTGATAACTGTGAGATACAGGATGCCCTTCCCCATCTTAATGTGGTTATCAAACTATTAAGGTTTATTTTGAAATGTCTTAGTGCAGTTATTAACCTTTAATAGCTTTAATTATTAAGCTTTAGTAGCTTCATAACTGCACTAAGACTTTTGGAGTACCATGTATGGAGAAGAACCAGACAAAGGCTTCCAGAATGTTAGATAGATCACCTATGGAGGCTTTAATGGGATGATATGGGTTGCACTGGTAGAATTGCGATGGGGATGGGGATGGGGATGGGAAAGAGCTAGCTGTACCTATTCATCGAAGGTATTGAGGCACATTAAAGAAGTAATTTCTCTGAGAATTTGCTGTCCTGTGCTGTTGCATGGTCCACACATATGGTAGCTCCATTCTGGGAGGGGAAGGTCTACAAAGGGGGAATTCCTAGCCTCTGTCAAGTCATTTTTGAATGTTGAGCTAGCAGTATCCTATGTGGTGAGGAGAACAACTCTGGATTGGATGAAAAGTGAAATGATAGCTGAGTTCAGAAGATCAAAGGAGATGAAATAGTTTCACTTAACTTTTCTGTTAGTCCTTTTTCACTTGTGACTACTCAAAACTCTCTAGCAAGTTAAAATTAGTCTTCCAGATGTGTCACCTTCTTTGACATAAGAAAAAGAGGAAGGGGTCTAAATAAGCATGATGAGAAGATTTAGCTCAAACTCTCCAGTAAACAGAACTCTTAAAGGCTGATAGTTTTTATTAGTTGAGTTTTAGGGGAAAGTTGAGGTTTGTTGAGCAGTACTGTGCTGGGTAGGGAGAAGGCTGAATCTGGGGACATTTATTATTTATTATTTATTCTAATTTTTTGAAATGCAGATCTGCCCTTGTTACCGCATATAAACTATGCTGAATGAACGAATGAATAAAAATGAATGAATGAATGAATGAAAAAGCATTTATTAAGCGATATTTATGTACAAATCACTGTACTGAGTGCAAGGGATACAAAGAAAGGCAAAAGACAGTTTCTACCTTCAAGGAGCTTACTTTCTAATGGGGGAGCCAATATACAAATGACCATGTACAAGCAAGATGTACATGGGATATACTGGAAATAATTAACAGAGGGAAACCACCAGAATTAGAAGGATTAGGAAAGGCTGCTAGTAGAAGCTGGTATTTCATCTTTCTGAGATTTGGCTTCTTCATTTATTAAATGATCAAGTTAGGCTAAGATCTCTTTTAAGACTACATTTCACCTTAGTCCCTGACTTTACAATTTAATCTAAATAATAAGAAGTATTCTGGTTTGCTATAGTCAAAGATTTTATCACAAAGTGGCCAGAGACTGGTGGTGAGTGTCTCTGTGCTTAAAAAAACGCTGCAACGTACTAAAACCAAGAGAAAGACAAATTAAAACAACTCTCAGCTGCTATCTCACACCCACCAGACTGGCAAGGACGACCAAAAAAAAAAAAAGGATGATTTTTGGAAGGACTGAGAAAAAAACAGGCACAAGAACAAACTGTTGGTGGAATTGTAATTTTACCAGTCATTCTGGATAACAACTCCCTATTCCCTAAATGTCACTAGATGGTGACATTGATCTAGCAATACCACTACTAAGCATTATATCCTAAAGAGATTTTTAAAAAGAGGGAAAAACCCATTTATCCAAAAGTATTCATAGCAGCTTTTTTTTTGTAGTGACAACCCCCCCCCCCAAACTATGTGGATACTCATTGGTGAATGGCTGAACAAATTATGGTAGATTAATATTGTTGTCTTATAAGAAGTAATGAAAGTGAAGTAAGCAGAAGCAGGAGAATAATTTATATCATTACTATGACATTATTAAAAAAAACAAACCAAAATTTTGAAAGACGTAAGAACTATTGTCAACACAATGATAGCAATGAGGACTCCAAGGGACTGATAATGAAGAATGCTACCAGTTCCGAGGTGATGGACCAATGGGGCAGAAGGCATCCATTTCTAGACATAATGAAATGTATGGATTTGGGTTGGTTTGCTTTTTGGTTTGGGTTTTGGGGTTTTTTTTTTCTTGACTATGCATGTTTGTTTGTGTTCGTTAAGTTGAGAATAATAAATAAATAAAAGTCAAAAATTTTCTAACTTAAGGATGCCATTTATATGATGTCAACTCCCAAGGTCATGTGTCACTCCAATACAGATAACAAAGGATATCTTTTTTTCTTGACCTTATTTGTTTTTTTTTTCCTTTCACAGTGCTGCTCTTGAGATGGAGTTACTGTCCCTTTGGCTCTCCCTGAGTTTCGTTGTGCTGGTTGTAGAGTGGCGGAATGAAACTAGAATGGCAGCAGCAGGATACCAAGGGCTTTGTAAGCTGGTGAGTTTGCCCTACAGAGCCCTACGTACATGGTTATTCCTGCCATCACAGGAGGCCAGGGGATGAGTTAGTGCATTGGGAAGGTTAGCAGACTGTAAACCCTAAAGGGAACACATGTATGTGGTTTATCCTTCGTTCTCAAAGAGAATCATGACATCAGGGAGATGATGCCATAACTTGCAATTGACTTTGATTTGAGTGAAGGAGGGCTGTGCAAAGTTATCAGCCTCACTTTCTCCTCCAGAGCCCTCTGAGTCCAGTGGCCAGATGTGGATCAGGATGACTGGAGATGGCCCAGGATGCAGTGGGAGACCTTGGCCCTTTTAAGCTAAGGTCTTTTCAAGTTCTCCCTTTGAGTGAGGCAATGCCCATTCAGTGAATAGGCCTCTTTAAGAAGTTAGTCAAGGGATAGCTATTTTAATTAAAACAAAAAAATCAAACTGGGAGGGGAAGACCCTCAGGGTTGCTGGCCAAAAAGAGAAATAGTTACTATTTACATTTACTCTGAGCCAGGAGGGCCCAAAAAATAACCATTAAGTGGTGTTTGGGCAAAGACCTATTGTGTCCAATCCATGAGATCCAGAGTGAATTGGGTTTAAGGCTTGTTCTCTGAGAGAGAAACGTACCTAGGAAACCCATAGTTAACTTAGGTAACTTTCGGCCATCAAAATTTACCCTCCTTTGGGCAGAATACCCTCAGGTAAGGGAAAACGAGAGGAGAGGACAGGAGGGGAGGAGAGGGGAGGAGCTGAGTGGCTCAACTGGAACTGGCTGGCTGGGTCCCCATTCAGGAAGCTTGGACTACTCACAGCTTGTGGTTTGTCCTTCATTCTGGAAAAGGACCATGACATCAGGAAGATGATGACATGACTTGCAATTGACTTTGATTTCAGTGAGGGAGGGTTGTGCAAAGTCACCAGCCTCACTTTCTCCTCCTGAGCTATCAGAGAGAACATAAGGACATAGCTAGACAGATGCTTAATAATTTCTCCTTTTTCTCTTTCTCCTCCTCTTCCTCCTCTTCTTCCTCTTCTTCTTTTTCCTCTTCCTCCTCCACTTTTTTCTCCTCCCTCTCTACTTCCTTCCCCCCCCCCTCCTCCCTAAGAATCAAACTGGAATCTGGAAGCCCAAGGGATAATCGTAGGCCCACTCTCACTGCTGATATGGGGAGGTTTGTCCCTCCTTAGGGAGCCTGATGGCTCACCACCTGGTCCACTTGGCCCACTGAAGCTCAGTACTCCCAAGCTCAAGAAGTCCACCAGCCTCAGCCTCTCAGATAGCACAAATTTGAGGCCTGCCCCCGCCCATTTGGAAAATAAGGCCCTGAGAGGCTGAGATGAGGCAGAAGGGCATTTCAGACATGGAGGACTTCATGTGAAAATGCATGGAGGAGGAAGGTGGGCTATTGAGATTGAGGAATAGCAAATAGTCTAGTTTGGTCCATCTCTCTGCCTCTACTCCTATCTATGAGAGAAGGGCCTAGCACTGCATAGTCCAGATAAAGAAGTCTTGGGTTGCTGGCCACAGAGGCCATGTAGCTGCCTACCCTGGTGTAGGACCTTTCCTCAACTGTCCTTGACAGATAGGTATTTGTTTCACTCTCAAAAAGCTCCAGGGAGCTGTTCTTAACCTTTAAGATGAAACAGATGCAAATGACAAAGGTAAAAGGGAATTGCTAGACTTCTAGAAACCTTATCTTTTGGGTTCTATCATTTGCAGATTCTATGATTCTGGTAAAATGTTCTGGGAAAGGATTTTCTGAGACTCTTGGGCAAGTTGCTGGAATCTGGGTAATACTTTTAGGTAACAGACAGTTAGATTATTGATGACTAATCTATTACTGGTGGCGTTGTTGCCTGTAAGTTCCAAGAGTTTAGGGCCCATGTCTATTCCAACTTTATTAAATTCATTTAAACACTTTAGTGCCTCCACATAATATTCCCCCTCAACATCAGCATAGCATAAGACTTTCCACATAATTGGTACTTAATAAACTCTCATTACATTACTTTAATTTCCATTTTGTCCTCTTCACCCTATTTTGGGGACTCAAGGCTGATGTTCCTTTTCATCAGACTTGGAATACAGAGGGTTCTGCAAACAGTGTGATTGCTTCTCCAGGGTGAGAGCAGAACTTGCTCTCCCCAGTTTGCCATCTGATATCACAATGTCCTTAGAAGAATTACCACATGGTACACACTGGTAAGAGGACTGGCCTGGAAGTCAAGAGACTTCATTGTAGTTCTGTTACCTCTTTAGGCCTTAGTTGCTTTATTTGTAAGATGAAGGGTCTGAACGAGATGACCTCCGAGGTCGCCTTGAGCTCTAACATCCAACACTGCAGAATCTCAATGATCCCTATTGAGTAAACTTGCTTGTTTGCCCTGCGCAGGAGTGGCGATCCCCCAGGATTGGTAGCCCAGCTGCAGAGCAGCAGTCAGTTGTGCGGGCATGGGCGTTGATCTCCCTAGAGGACAAGCCTGATTATGTCACTCTCCTGCTCCACAGGCTGTTGCCCGAGGGATAAAAGACAAATTCCTCTGTTTGACATTTAAAGCCCTTCCCAGTCCAGCTTTAGCTTAGCCTCAGGGCTCATTCCACATCGCTGTGCTTCATTTTATACACTGTAGGACGGTTGCTGTTCCTTGTAAACAACAGTCCATCTCCCATGTTTGTGTCTCTGCCCAGATGATCTTCTAGGCCCTGGAATTAACCCTCTCCTCATATTCATCTTCTAGAATCCCTTGCTCCCCTCAAAGGTCACCTTCAGTGTCTCTTCCTGCAGGAAATGAGTCGTCCAGGCTAGTAGTGTCTCTTCCAATCACTTTTTATTTATCTAATTTGTATTTTGTATTAACTTGTATATGTACTATGTTATTTCACCTGATAGAATGTAGCTACTTGAGGACATGGATGGTTTCATTTTTGTGTTCGTATCTATCTCCATCGCTTGGCACAGTGCCACCACAGAGTTGACCCTCCAAAACTTATCAACTAATTGTTGAGACCCCTTTTTTTCTCCCATCTTTTTTTTTTGGTAAATAATATTTTATTTTTCTTATTACATGTAAAGATAGTTTTAAACATTCATTTTTACATAAGATTTTGAGTTCCAATTTTCCTCCCTCCCTTCCTCTCTCCTCCCCAAGATGACAAGCAATCTGATATAGGTTATACATGTGTAATCATATTAAACATATTTCCATATTAGTCATGTTGTGAAAGAAGAAACAGCAGAAGGGAGAAAACATACACGTATACACACACATACACACACACACACACACACACACACACAGACACACACAACCCAAAGTGAAAATAGTGTGCTTCAATCTGTATTCAGGCTCCAGCAGTTCTTTCTCTGGATGTGAATAGAATTTTCCATCATGGGTCTTTTGGAATTGTCTTAGATCGTTGTATTGTTGAGAAGAGCCAAGCTTATCATAATTGATCATTACACAATGTTGCTGTTACTGTGTACAATGTTCTCTTGGTTCTGGAGTGAGACCCATTTGTAAGGGAAACTCATCATTCTCAACTCCAATAGTTGTCCTTTGTCTGAATAAGTGTCCAGACTTCACTTGTTTCAAATGTGAGCTGAGACATTCAGATGATTTGAGTAATTGCAATCTTATGCCTCTAGTTTTACATATTATATATTCCATTATTTGTTAAGAAATTGTGATCTTTAGAGGCCCCAAAAGAATAAATGACTGAAAAAGCATTTATTGAATGCTATGTGTAAAGTACTGTGCCAAGCATTGAAGTTACAAATAGAAAAATTAAAACAGTTCCTGCTCCCAAGGACCTCACATTCTAACAGGAGAAAACACACGTAGGAAGTTTCAACTGCAAGTTAAGTGTAAAGTGGTAAGGCAAATGATAGTGCATCAACTTAGTCAGTGTCATTTCCATTGGTAGAATCACATCTGTTGAACTATTTGACAGATCCAAGGTCTTTGGTGCTGTGCGTTTTTTTCTGATTATTCAGTAGCTATGAAGAGGAGGTGGGGGCTGTAGCACATGAAGAAGCAGTTGCCATGTCCGCAAGGGCTTCATCTTTAGACAATGGCTGTGGGGAGTGGGATGGAAGCAGGACCAGTGATTGGGGGAACGGTGAGTGCTGCTGTTCTGAGGTCTTTTGGGCTCGCCTGGCAGTTGGTAGTAACTAGTCAGAAGTTGATGTTGGTGGTAGTAGGGATGGCTATGACCCAGATTGTAGATGCTAGAGACAATCCTAAAATTGAATAATATATATATACATAAAACATGAACAATTGTGATCATTTTTAAAAGGCTAGAGGAAGAGGTCTTTGCCTCCTTGGTATTGCTCATTAGTATGTTTTCAAACCTAGGTGGACCGAGTTGCTGATTGCCAAAGACGACACCTGGATTCAGTACCCAGTGACCTCCCAACTGATTCAGTGGAGCTTATCCTGGATGCCAACCCCATCAAGACCTTGGAGCATCATTCCCTCCTGCAATATTCTCACTTGGAGAAGCTGAGTCTAGGTAATTGTGAACTGAAGTGCATTGGACGAAATACATTCCAGGGGAGCAGCAACCTTGACACTTTGACCCTGAGCAACAATTTCCTCTCAGTGAACTACACAGAGTCTGGAGCTGCTCTCCGATCTCTTCTGGGCCTAAGGAAGCTGGACCTGTCAGGAAACTCCCTGACTGAGGACATGGTGGCCGAGATGCTCCTCAACCTCTCTTCCCTGGAGTCCCTGTCTCTGGCAAGGAATGCCATCATGAGGCTGGATGACACTGTCTTTCAGAGCCTGGGAAGACTCCAGGAGCTGGATTTGCAAAGGAACTACATCTTTGAGATTGAAAGTGGTGCCTTCGACCACCTGAAGTGGCTGAGGAGGCTCAATCTGGCCTTTAACCACCTCCCCTGCATCGTGAACTTTGGCCTTACCCAGCTTCAGGTGCTGAACATCAGCTATAATATCCTTGAGTGGTTCATAGCAGACAGTGGAGATGCTGCCTTTGAACTGGAGACACTGGACCTCTCCCATAATCGGCTGCTGTTTTTTCCCTTTCTCCCTCAACAGAACAGGCTTCGCACCCTTTTGCTAATGGACAACGAGATGGGCTTTTACAGGGATCTGTACAATGCCTCATCCCCAAAGGACATGGTGGTTCAGTTCCTCCTCAGCAGTGGCAATGTGACCAATGTCACCACTGTCAACCTTTGGGAGGAGTTTGCCCTGAGTGACCTTTCTGCCCTTCATTTCCTGGACCTTAGTCAGAATCAGCTCAGGTACCTACCAGATGGATTCCTAAGGAACATGACTTCCCTTTCTCACCTGAATCTTAATCAGAATTGCCTCCAGACACTCTACATCCAAGAGGATGATCCCCCACACTCCCTTTCTGACCTTAACCTCGGCCAAAACCAGCTCTCAGAACTGCGGGTGGCCCCTAGACTGACTAGCTTCCTAAGGAACCTTAGATACTTTAACCTTAGCTCCAATCAGCTCCAGGGAGTCCCCCCTGGCCTCTTCACCAATACCAGTAACATCACTACAATTGATTTGAGTCACAATCAAATCACCCTTTGCCCCCATTCAAAAAAGGTTAGCCAACCTGCCTGTGTTGATTTCCGAAATATTACATCTTTGAGGAGCCTCTTTCTTGAAAACTGTGGCCTGGCGGCCTTGGAAGAACGCACTTTCAGAGGGACATCCCTCACTCATTTAGACCTGTCTGGTAATCGAGGTGTTCTGTTGCGGGGCATTACTCCTCTCCAGGACATTGCCCCCACATTACAGGTCCTGTCTCTCAGGGACATTGGCCTTTATCCCAATGGTACAGAGTTGGATTTCTTTGGGTTTGGGAATCTGAGATATTTGGATGTGTCGACAAATTCCTTGACCAGCTTTCCACAGTTCTGGGGCAACCTGGAGCTACAGACCCTGGATCTTCGGAGGAACCGACTCACAGCCCTTCCTCAGTGGGCTGGCTCTGAGCAACTCAAAAAGAGCCTCCGTGTTCTCTACCTCAGCCAGAATCCATATGATTGCTGCTGGCTGGAGGGCTGGGGTCCCCTCCACAGCTTGAAGACACTGCTCATTGAAGACAAGGGAGCTGTCACCTGTAACTTCTCCTCCAACATATTTCGAGTGGTGGAACTGCCTGAGAATATATCCCAGGATTGCAAGTGGGAAAGAGTGGACATCGGCCTGCTTTACTTGGTACTCATCCTCCCCACCTGCCTCACCCTACTTGTAGCCTGTGTTGTCATCTTCCTGACGTTTAAGAAGCCCCTGCTGCAAGTTGTAAAGAGCCGTTGCCACTGGTCCTCCATTTACTGACCTGAGGAGAATGTAATCTATACATATGAAAACTCTTTCCAAAAGAGTTTTTTCTGAAAAAAAAAAAAAGAAAAAAAAAGTGAGTCAGATGAGCAGGTTGGCCTAGATGATCTCCTATGTCCATTCTAGCCCCAAATTTGTTATCAATGTGACCCTGGGCAAGTCATGTAACCTTGCTTGCCTCAGTTTCCTCATCTGTAAAAAGCAAATGGCAAACCAGTCCAGTATCTATCTTTGTCAAGAAAACCCCAAATGGAGTCACAGAGAGTCAGAAACAACTGAAAAATGACTGAACACCAATAAAAACAACAACAAAAAACAAATGATGAACCAGATAACTAGGGAATAGACGAAGATGAAAATGGTCTCCATTCCTTTATCCCTCCAAACAACATGGTTCAGTGGATAGGGCATTGGACTTGGAGTAAGGAAGATCTGGCCTGATTTTAGTACTTACTAGCTCTGCGACCATGAACTGAGCCAGTTTCCTTTTCTGAAAAATGAGAATAATCATACCAATTGTACCTACCTCACAGGGTTATTGTGGGGATGAAACAAAACAATGTTTGTGAAATGCTTTGTAAACCCTAGAGCCCTATATGAATTCCCAGATACTATCAATATTATTTTTATTATTATGAATATAGAGCCACATAAAGAATTTTTATAAAATTTAACTGAAAGAAATGGTCCTCCCTTACTGTGTGGTTGTTATTTTTATATCATTTCTTTGGTTATGTTCATGGAGCTGAGCAACAGAATAGGAATGACTGAACTCAAACCCATCGCTACAACAGAAAAAGAAAACCTCCAAGTAAGTGCCCATCCTCCTACTATTGGGTCAGGAATAAACTCTTTAATATGAAAGGGTAGCACATATATTATTGTTGTTCATACCGTTTGTTGTTGGAACAGATCTAAGTGACCACTTCAAAGGGAAGCAAGGAGCAGGTCAGATGGGAAGAAATGAAACAAAACTTTTAGTAAATGCTTACTTTGTGCCAAATATGGTGCTATACATTGGGGATACAATTAGAAAAAAGGAATTAAAATCTAACCGAAGGAGACAACACAGAGATGAGAGTTCAACTGCAGAGAGGATGTGAATGTCCCAAAGTCTTAAAAATGCTTTGGTGTGGCTGATGGTAAGGCCTAGGGGGGCCTTAGGTTAAGAGGGGTCTAATAGTCACGAACAGATTATATGCTGAAGCAGCAGAGCTAAGAAATTTCATGTCTAGTATGTGAGCTAATTGCTGTTATTGGGCTAAACAAAAATGTACCAGCAACCTTCTAAATTCATCACTCTCTGTTAGCCAAATTAAAGAGACCAAACACATGACACCATTTTGGCAAGGCCAATAGACGCTGAAAGTGCTAGAAATTTCCCTGTGTAGCCTCCATTCCATCTAGTTCAATTCAATTCAATTCAACAAGCATTCATTAAGGGTTTACTATAGTGTGTAAACTATAGCCAAGGATTGTGCTAGATACAGGAGATAGAAAGATAAAATAAAAAACAGCCCCAGTCCCAAAGAGTTTATATTTTCCTACATTCATTATAATCAGGGATGACCTTTGTTAAATTTTGGGGTAAGCAAAGTTTGTGTTCATTGTCTCTCTGCCTTCATTTTTAATTCTGCTTCTCCACTCTGACCCATCTCTCCTCCCCCATCTTCTAGATGCCCTGTGCCCTTCTTATAGCAATTTCCTGCCTGGGCCTGCCGTTGTCAAATAGTGCACAAATTCCAGAATTTTTCTGACTCCTTCCTTCCACCTTTAAAACTTACAGCTCCCTTTCGTTAAGGGTTTTGTACTTTGCTTTGAAGGCAAAAGCTAGTTAATCTTATCAGTTTTCTTGTTTCCCTGGCTGGGGCAACACCTCCTAGAATCTAGGACCATAACATGTGCATTTTGGCAAAGACGTTCTAGAGATGCTGCTTCCATCCTATTCTAAAAAGACTCCATTTTTATGGAATGTTAGCTACAAACATAGCTTTAACAATAGCATTTCATTCTGCCCTGACTATAATACGCTATAATGTTGTGGGTGAAATTTAACAAAGAGGTAAACTTGAGGCAATTCTCTGAGCAAGATAGCATTTATTAACAGGGGCATACTGCCTTCCGATAAAAGGGTCAATGGATTACTTCATTTTTATGCCAAAAACTCAGATCAAGTGTACATCTCCCCTTTTATAGATTTTTGGGGAGTGCAGAACAGGGTAGATGACATAATGGAGTTAAGGAAACATGATTGGCTACAGAGCTGAGGCACAGGGAACAATATGATTGTTTGGAAGTTTGGTAATGAGGGGCTAGCAATGACCCCCTCCTTCTCTCTTGAGATATTGTTTGAGTGTAGGTGCAAGATAGTGGGCCTGATTTTTGGACAGCAAACCAGACATTCTTGAAGGATAGCTTGGTGGTAAAATATTAGACCCTACTCCTTTGTATTCACACGCATGCCCCAAGGTCAGCTAAATTCCTTGAGGCAAGAATAGATCAGTGGTTAGCAGGAGAGCTGGATGTCTAAACTTAACCCATCATAGACCAGCTGAATTCTGAACTAAGTTCAGAGACAAAGAACCATGAGCAGTTACAGGATAAAATTAATTAATTGTAAGCAGGATCAATAAATAAATGATACAGGATCAATCTTTATCACAATAGTAAACTACCTTCTGTTCATAATGGTTCAGGTTTCAGGTGTCATGAAATGAATGCTGGATTTAGAGTCAGAGTATTTGTTTCTAAATCCCAGCTCTCCTATATAATACCTACGGCACCTTGGACAAGTCACTTCACCTCTGTTTGCCAGTTTCCTCAACTGTAAAATGGGAATAATATTAGCACCTACTTCCCAGGATTGTTGCAAGGATCAAATAAAAAAATATTTGTAAAATGTTTACACAGTGCCCGGCACATAGTAGTCACTTTGTAAATGTTAGCAAGAATTACATTTATAGAGTGATCACAATTATCATCACCAAGTGGTGCTGAAACTCTCCGTACTTTGTCAGGCTATCCTTTACAAGGCAGGTTCAGTTTGTTGCTGATGTCATTTATGAAGCCTTTTAATCATAGTAGAACCTACCAAGGCTTGTGTTCCGCTTCAAGAACTCAGGGTTGTTTCAACACCACAAAGAGGCATTGAAGTAGGTCTTTTTGGAGAATTATCATCATGGAGCACTGAGAGAGGAAAAAAAATATGGCTATTTGAGTTTTCTAATTGGAAATTTAGACAGAAAGGAATTTATTATGTGGTATTGTGTAACATGGTCCTTTATATTCAAATAATTTCTCAACTCAATTTGTCCTTACGTACTTGGCAGCTTGGTATAATGCAGTGGCTCACAATTAAGGGGGTCTACACCAGGGCTTCTTAGACTTTTTCTACTTGTGACCCCTTCAGCCCTTCTTAAACTATGAGTCCTGACCATATGGGGTTGCGACCCACAGTTTAAGAAGCGCTGGACTCTACACTATAAATTCTTAAATAACTCCTTAATGAGTAAAAAAAAAAAAAAGAGTACTAAAGTTGGAGTCTAGAAGACCCAAGTTTGAATTTTGGCTCTGCTGCTTATGACATGTACAACTTGGGTCAAACCTTTGGTCCTCATTTTCCCCATATATAAAATGAAGGGGCTCATAGGATCATAAATTTAGAGCTGTAAGGAAACTCAGAGCTCATACAGCCTAGTACCCTTATTTTACAGGTGGGGAAATCAAAGACCATGGAGGTTGAATGACTTGCTCAGGGACACACAGGTAGATCATAAGTGACATGATCTGATTCTAAATTCAGTCTTTTTTCCCAGTATGCCACATTGCTTCTTCAGTGGATCAGAAAGGTTTCAGGCAAGTGTTTCACCTCTCTAGGGAGCTGGTCTAGTTCCCTTTCAGTTCTAAATCTATTATCCTACAAATCCAAAGTAATGACTCCAGTGGTGGAAATTTTAGGCATTGTTACAGTTTGGTTATAGATACTACACCTTGTAGGGGACCATCTACTTATCAGACCAGCCATGATTATAATAGCATTTGGGGAAGGACATCTCAGAGGGAGTGAGTAGGGAGTAGGAGTAGAGAGAAACAGGAAAGAGACAGCTTCTCTGAGCAGCAAATCCCCAAATCTTCACACCTATTATCACCACCACTTTCCCTCCTCCTTTCTCTTCAGCTTGTGGGTATTCTCAGAAGGATGGGGAACATAACTCATAGTCACCCTGGAGAATGACTTGCATTCTCAGTATGTCCAGTCAGCACATGTATATCTCAGCCTCAGTAATCACAAGATTTCAGGGAAAATTAAAAGCAGTTCCTCATTGACGATTGGTTGGGGCCCCTGTTTTTTTTCTTCCTTTTGGGGAAAGGGCATCAAGAAGGAGGGTGAAAGGCAAGAGGCTGATGAGAAATAGAAGAGAAGAAAATGGTGCATGACGGGAGAAATGAAGACAGAAGATGGCAAAAAGTAACCGAAGAGGTAAGCTTCCCCCTAAGGACAGTGTCAGAGTAGCCTCATTAGAGGTAGTGTCAGAGTAGCTTCATCAGAAATTTGGAGTTCTGATGTCTTTAAGGACCTGGAGTAGGTTAGTAGGGAAGTAATGGGGAAGAAGCATGTATGGGAAATAGTGCTGGACCTGGGGTCTGAAGAGGTGGGTTCAAATCCTGGTCTCTATACTTACTCTCTGGGAGGTTATTTTCTCATCTGAAATGTGAGAAAAGGTGGTACAGTGGATAGAGTGCTGGACCTTGAGTCAGCAAGGCCTGAATTAAAATCTGACCTTAGACAAAAATAGCTGTGTGACCCTAGGCAAGTCACTTAACCCCATTTGCCTCATTTCCATCATGAGCTAGAGAAGGAAATGGCAAACCATTCCAGTATCTTTGACAAGAAAACACTAAATGGGGTCACAAAGAATCAGACATGACTGAAATGACTGAACAACAACAAAAACATGAGAAAAGTAATACTGACGTACAACTTTATGGAGTTATTGTGAAGAAAGCAGTTTATACATTTCAAAGTTCTTTTTGGAGATGTGTTATTGTTAAGATCTGCTCCCAAATCTCATTGGGCAAGGCACTTCAGCTCTCTAGGCCCCAGCTTCTTTATCTAGAAAGTGAATGGGTTAGGCCAGGTGGTTCCCAAGATCCTGTCTAGTCCAATGATATTATTTTAAGGATACCTGAGTCTCATTCCCATTGCTTCTGTTCTTTCTCTTTTTTAAATTTTGTTTTTTATTTTCAGTTCCAAATTTTTTTCTTTCCTCCATTCCTCCCCCACCTATCGAGAAAGCAAAAAACATGATACTTTTATGTATGAAGTCATGCAAAACATATTTCTACATTGACCATGTTCTGGAAAAAAAAAGCAAGAAAAAGGGGCAGGTAGGTGGCACAGTGGATAGAGCATCCGCCCTGGAGTCAGGAGAACCTGAGTTCAAATCTGGCCTCAGACACGTAACGCTCACTAGCTGTTGTGTGACTCTGGGCAAGTCACTTAACTCCAATTGCCTTACAAAAAAAAAAAGGCAAGAAAGAGGGAAAAAAGTACATTCTGAGTCTATCAATTCTCTTTCTGGAGGTGGATGGCATTTTTCATCAGGAATCCTTTGGAATTATGATGGATCACTATATTGATCAGAGTTTCTAAGTCTTTCACAGTTGATTTGCTTTATAATATTATTGTTACTGTGTACATTGTTTTCCTAGTTCTGCTCACTTCACTTCATATCAGTTCATATGTCTTCCACATTTTCCTGAAACCATTCCTTTCATCATTCTTACAGCACAATAGTATTCCATTAGATTCATATATCATAACTTGTTCAGCCATTCCCCAATTGATGGGCATCCCCTCAGTTTCCAATTCTTTGTCACCATAAAAACAGCTACTATAAATATTTTTGTACATATTGGTTCTTTTCTTTTTCTTTGATATCTTTGTGGTATAGACTTAGTAGTGATGTTATTGGGTTCAAGGAGTACACACAGTTTCATAGCCCTTTGGGCATAGTTCTAAATGGTTTTCAGAATCCTCTGCCTCTCTTCTCATATAATAGCCATATAATCAGAAGGGAAGAAGAAGACAGCAGGATTAGAAGTTATCTTTCCCTTTAGAGTTTTCTGAGTAGACAATTCTTGCAATCCTCTTAGATACAGAGGTTACTGCCTACTCTATCTACTATGGGGGAGGTAAAGATGAGCATTCAGAAACCTTTGGTTCTATAGGTCCTTTATTCAAGTATCTGCCCTCAATAAGGGATGAAAGCCCATGGTTAGACCTCCAGAATGTGCTTCAGACCAATAGATCAGCAGTGATTCTTTGATTATCCCCATTACCTATGTTATTTTTTAATGAAAAAATTTAAAATGCCAGTGGAATTTTATTTAGTGACAATGAATTTTTATATAAATTATGCAGTATGATGTAATAATAAAATGTGATTTGGTTGAGGAGGACAGTGATGGGGGTAGTGGAGTGAGAAGTCACTAATATATTTATCTAGTTCTTGCATTCTTTATGAAGTCTGAGTTTATATGCAGCATTACAGAACAGACTAGGCCATGTTCCCATGTGTCTAGTCACACGGTGAATACGTAACAGACTTGTGTCATGTGTGCCAGGTGTCATTTATTAGATATCATTATTATTTCTGATCCTGCTTTCCCAAGTGTTTTATACTTTGCAGATGGTGTGCATCTTATGTTCTTAGTATACCTTCTAAACATGTCTGTCATCCTAATAGCTTCTTTTACATATGTGGGAAATTCACTTTTAAACCTCAGAGAGGAAACTTTACTCCTCTAGTTGAGAAGACCTATGAACTCAATTGTGGTTGTAAGATCGGTGATCAGGATAAGGCTTATGTCCCTCACCTGCGCTGGTGCTGCTTGTGTTTGTCTTCTAGCTGGTCGAAATATGACTCTATGCACATGCCATTTGGTAGTTCTAATTAATTAGAGAAAAATATTCAAGAAGTTGCTATTTTTGATAATAAATATATCAGGGATTGCCTCCAATCTAAATATATACAATATCCAAATCTACTCAGCTGTAAGACCTGTTTTAAACAGGGAAGACCTACCTATACTGAAACCACAAGAAACTTGGAAATTAGATGAAGAAGATAAATCTGAAAATCCTGATCATACTGATAACATTCAACATGGCAGGATAAGAGGTGGTAACCCTCATCTCCTCCTCAGATCCATATTTAATAATTCAGGCCTATCTAAATGTCCTTGTTTGTAATCTTAATTCATCCCAAAATCAAGCTGAGATTTTATCTTCTACGCTAAAAGTGGAGCATTTCCTACAAGAGAGATCCAAAATAATGTCTGAACCATGAAACTTTTCCTGAGGAGTATTGAATATGAAACATATTTTTAGAATCTCTGTGGGGATCTGAAAGTGATTGCTTTTTTAAAATTTGGATTATAATTTGGATATACTACATACTAATGCTTTTTTGTGAATGGAATAGCATATATAACCCCCCCCCCACAAATATGTTTAAAAAAGAAACACTAGCCTCAAAGAAAAGAACTGATTTCAGGAAATAAAAATGTGGTAAACCAACCACTTGTTAGTCCTGAAAAAAAGTTACCACCATGACACCTTAAACTTGGGTTGGTGAAAATTTTTGTCAAAATGATAAATCAAAATGATTCAGGTTTTCTTAATCTGAAAAAATAACTTTTCAAGGATTAGCGAGGCAGAAATCAATAAGGGTTATTTGTTGATTCCTGTGAATTGAGCATAAAATATGTTTGTTGTCAGACATTGGCGCTTAGGTGGTTTTCAACATTAAAATTTGTGGTTCTTCAAGTAGAGGAAGTGATGAAAGATGCATATTTTAAAGAAGAGTTTAATGAAATCGAAGGAATTACATGGAAATTATTTTTTAAAGTGACCAAAACCTTTTTTTTTTTTTCTGGAAGGCAGAAAACTAAAAAAGCAAATTTTCATGAAGTTCTTAAATTTTATAAAGTTGTGTGATCTAACGTGTTTCTTAAAGATTCATTTCTTTCCTGGGTTTCACATTTGGACTTCTTCCTGGAAAACCTGTGTGCTCTCAGTGATAAGCACTGGGAACACTTCCATCAAGAAATCTTTACGATTGAAAAGCAATGCCAGGGTAAATGTAGTCTAATCATTTTATTTGTCTACTGCTGGGTATTGAGGAGCAATATTGTAATAAAAACTAACAGGAAATCACCAGTACCTACATTTTTAAAAAGCTAAATGAACACAATTTTGTTTTGTTTACAAAAATGATTTTTATATATAACAATTCAACCTTGCTGCTGAGTTCAGGAGTTGGGGCACTTACTCTCTGTCTCTGCAGGGGTCCCTAGCTTTAAGTTCAAGTATGCTGATCAGGCTCAATCCTGTAACAGTATAGTCTCTAAAGAGAAGGGTCAGGCTATTTTTCTCCTACTTTTTGGCTCTTTATTTCTATGTCCTAGAGCTCCACAGAGATTCACTTAAAGCTGAAGTTTGGCTCATGTCTAAAGTTTCCCCAAAGGAAAGTAGAAAGGTATTCAGTGTGCATAGATCAGGTATAGGACTGCTATTTATTTACTCCACACAAAAGAAATATTTAAAACACAAAAGACTTATAAGCATGAGGTAACAAAGACTTAAACACAAAGCAGCAACTTAGAATTGCTATCATTCTCTATTGGGAGATTAATACTTAAAACATGAAGCATTTTGTGAGATCACTGAATTAGCATTTCACCTTCACCTTGTTACCATACTGTTCAAACAACTACTTGAAGGTCCATGTCTTTTGGCAAGCCAGGTCAGGGTTGGGTTACTCATCCTGTTGGTCATGTTCTACTCCAACAATCATTATAGAATCTCTTATAGTGTAGACAGTACCAACTGAAGGGCCTAGTATCTCCTGAGTTAGCCATGATCCAAAGTCCATCTCTAAGTGTCACAATTCGGGTATCTATTCTCAGAGAAAGAAACACAAAGCAGAAGAGATAGACAGAGGCCTGAGAACTAGGCTCAGGTAGTACTTAAGTTCCTTTGAAGCTGAAATACTCACCAGGGATGGGGAAGGAAAATCCCAGAAAGAAAGTTACATGGCACATCTTCAGAAGAGACCACCAAGGGGTAGGGTCAAACCTTTCAAATTTAACAGAGGGTGATTCTTTCTCAGTCAGTAAGCAATTCTTGCTGATGCATCTTTGATGAAGCACCCCACCACTCCCACACAGAATAGGGAAGTGAAGAAAAGGTTGCACCTGGAACCAAACCAGAAACCTTTGGTTGCACATGTTTATTTATCAAGGGGTCCACTTGAAAAGGGACAAGGCAAATGTGTCAATGGAGAGACAAGGACAGCACATGTGGCATTGTAAGGGTACCAAGCATGTTCCATGGTTTGAACTCTAGCCAGAGTTAATGGGAGAGGGTTCACCTGGATCACATCTGTTACATATAAAACTGTGATTTTCATGAAC